TGAAACAGAGAGACTCATTAATCCTTTCAGGAGAACATTCCTTTCAACATCCGTTTCTAGCTAGTGCTGGACATAACAGTAATTCCTCCAGGTTGAATAGAGGTTCTGTGGTGAATTCAAGTCTTGGCAGGTAAGCTGGAAGAGGAATGGATATCTTTTGAAATGTAAATGCCAGAGTAATTTGTAGCTTCCATTTTGTTTCATAAAGGAATGTGAATTTATTTTTCTTACAAAAGCTTTCCACTCACTTTTTAATTTTAGAGCAAAGAGTATAACTAAGCCTGGCCTTTTCAACCCATGGAGTGAATTAAGTAGCCAAAATAAAAGACCCGGAGGTTTAATCTCTGTTAATAGATTTCAGGAAAACAGAGACAATTTCCTTAAGCGATGCTGCAATTTTTGCATTGAAATATAGCTGCAATTTGAGCCCAAGTATAATGGAAAGTAAGATTTAATCCTTTTAATATTCTCTGTAATAACGAGTAACAGCTCTAAGCTTCCGGATACCCTCCCTAACATATGGTGGGTTCCTAATGTCCCAGTGGTGGGACCTTGGTTAATGCCTACTGAATCTGCAAGTTCCCCCCAAGGAAACACATGAAGAAAAGAGAACAGAGAGGAGAGGACTGCTCCTGCAGGCACCAAGGAGGAGAGCATTCCTTTAAAACACACAGTTTCTAGGAAATACTTCATCATTATCATCACCTGCCTTCTCCTTGCTGAGGCCGTAACAGAAGTAGGTACTAACATACACCTTACCCATGTGACCGCCCCTCTGATTTTCCTCCAAAAATGTCTTATTCATGAAGTAAAGGATTCCTGCCAGTTGGGGTTAGTCAATGAATTTTGGCTTGAAGGGTGTTCTGCAAGTCTTTCTCCAGAGATGAGTATTTAAAAGGAGATGAATTTTCATTGATCCAAATGAAAAGCCAAAAAAACAGGAAAGGAACCAGATTTGTTGAGCGCCCACTCCATGAAGGGCTTTCCCAAATACCATATCAACTTTGCAGAGATCAGAACCCCTGTTGAAAGCTTCAAAACCAGGCTTCCACAAACCAGTTATTCCCAGGAGCTTAGTGGAAAGGTAAATAATATATTTTCTGTAGCCCTGGAAAGCCCTGATAAGAGCTCTAAAATCTTCTCCTCAAATCAACAAACTTTAAATTTGTAGGAAAGAAATGATTGGATTGGAAGAGGTTCTACTTGTAAGGTACTCAACCAAAAGTTTATTCTGAACTGTCACCCCCAAATTCCCTGTACAAGATGAATAAGGGAGCCAAAGTTCTGGCCGTATGGGACCAGACCCTTGTATAACACTCCACTCACTCATACCAGTATTCACCTTGACCCTGACCAGGCAAGGTCAAAGTAGTTCCATTCAAAAGATCAAGAAACATAGGCAAAGTGACTTACCCCAGCATTTCAGCTCCTTAAGTTAGAAGGTCTTTCATCTTGGCCACAAATGCTCTCCAAAATATTGAGTAGAAGATGAAAAACCTTGCTAGGTACTTAGCTTTCTCATTTCTCTTTGAAGGCTATTTCTGACATTTCCCGGGGTCTTGTCATCCAATAGTAGAGCTTGACGAGGATAAAATTGACATCATTAGCACACGGAAATATGCCCTACTTAAGACAATTCCATAATATAAAAAATCCTCACTTGGATACAGATACAAAAAGGAGTTATTACTTATTGGTGCTTTATAGGGATTTTTTTTTAAGCAAGTATTAATGATTGGCTCTATTATATTGAAAATTTCCTGCAATGTGCTTAAAATTCAACCTGACTTGCCCAACTTGGATTGCATACAACTCTTGAGGCACCTGTGCATTTGGAACAAGAAGCTCCAGTAACATCAGTTCCTTCCCTCAGCAAAACTTATACCAGAGGTGTCATAGCCTTGGCTTCCTGTTGCCTGGTGATGGGTGGGCAGGAAGAAAAGGAGGGAGGAGCATTGGGAACAAATGACAACTGACAGAACTCTGACAGATAGAAAGGTGAATGGATCCATCTCTCCCGTTGGACTACAGCACAGGTCAGATTTGTCCTGTGGATCCCCGAGTCCACCCACAATCCGCAGGGACTCCAGATAGCTATTTCTTTACCTAAGTAACGTGGCGTGTGTCTAGTGTCTGTCAGTGGTTGCCGTGGCAGTTCCTCTAGTTGGCTCTTTTCCGGTTAAATGAAGAAAAGTCATCTGTTGGGGAACTGAGACAGGACGCACTGGTTGGTGACAACGACCTCAAACACCTGAGCAGCCTTCTGGGCAGAGAATGCCGGGAATGCGAATTTCCACTTGTCAAGACCAGCTTGACCTGGGAGCTGCAAAGAGGGAGCAGGTTGTCTGGGATTTTGAGCTTGGCATTTTTTAACTCAACCTGCCAGAGAGGTCAAATGCTGTTTCAATGAAAATTCCTTCTTAGGGAAGTTTCTTTTAGGGGGTAATAAGTGACAGAGTTGGGGGGTGCTAAGGATAAGTGCCAAGGCACCTGGGCCTGGCAGGAAAGCCTGCCAACCTGTCAACACTGACATGATCACGCAGCCCTCCCCGGCCCCATCGCTGACCAGTCATTAAAACCGAGGAAACGGACTCACAGACACAGGAAACCAATTTATGGTCACCAACGGGAGAAGGGGATGGCTAAATTAGGAGTTTGGGATTAACAGACACACATTACCATATATAAAACAGGTAAGCAACAAGGACCTACTGTATAGCACAGGGAACTATAGTCTATCTTATAATAACCTGTAATAGGAAAGAATCTGAAAAAGAGTAGAAATATATGTATAATTGAATCACTGTGCTATACACCTGAAACTAATACAACATTGTAAATCAGCTATACTTCAATAAAAAATTATTTAAAAATTTGAAACCTAGACTCCAATTAGTAAAAATCCCAAGGAAGTGCTGTTTCCTTCATTAAGCCTCTCTCCCAGAGGGCCCCTCAAAGGAGGTTCTACTGTGGGAGTAACAGAGCCTGCCTTGTTCTGGCACTCATGAATGGACTTCAGGGGTCCATGAACCCCCTGAAATGTGGATGTGATTTTGTGGCTAGATATATTTTTCTGGATGAAGGGTTGATAGCTCATCAAATTCTCAGCACGTGCTCATGTGTTCAGTCGTGTCCAACTCTTTGCAACCCCATGGACTGCAGCCCGCCAGGTTCCCCTGTCCTTGGGATTTCCCAGGAAAGAATACTGGAGTGATTTCCTCCAGGGGATCTTCCCAACCTAGGGATCAAACTTGCATCTCCTGCATTGGCAGGTGGATTCTTTATCCCTGAGCCCCAGAGGAAGACCCCAAATTCTCAGCAGACCTTCCTTAGTACAAAAGTGAACCTCAGTCCAGAGCTGGAAAGAACACTCAGGATACCAGGACACCTCGGCAGAGGGATCTTGGAATTGTCACCACCTGCTCCAAGGGATCACTTCCTGCTTCTTAAGGAAGTTGAAAGAAAGTGAAAGTGAAGTCGCTCAGTCAAGTCCAACTCTTTGCGACCCCATGGACGTAGCCTACCAGCCTCCGTCCATGCAATTTTCCAGGCAAGAGTACTGGAGTGGGTTGCCATTTCCTTCTCCAGGGGATCTTCCCAACCCAGGAATCAAACCTGGGTCTCCCACACTGCAGGCAGACGCTTTACCATCTCAGCCACCAGGGAAGCAAAGAAGTTGACTGGCACCATATTCTGGACTTGGGGATGCTGTTTTTTCCAAAGCAATTAATTTGTGTTAATGTCCCATCCATTGCTTCCCCATAATACAGATGAAACATTTTCCCCCTAAGAGACAAGAATCACCTGGGAATGTTTTATTTTAACAATGCCAATGACCAGGCCACACACCCAATATTCTGATTTCATTGGTCTGGGATGGGATACCTCATGCTATAATGTGATCTATTGTAAAGGTTTTTAAAACCAGTTCCCAGCTCAGAAAGAAAAGTGTTCTGCTCCAGTGGTAATGTCTAGGGGAAAGAAAGCTGTGTGTATGTGGATGTTTTCCATTTTGAACCACACATACATGTATATTTTTATATCTGTGTGCATATATACATGTATGAGAATACATCCTTCATATGTATAGATGTGTGCACATATGTATATACACACACACATCAGGTATAGTGTGGACTTTCCTGTTGGCTCAGTGGTAAAGAATCTGCCTGCCAATGCAGGAAAGGTGAGTTTGATTCTTAGGTCAGGAAGATCCCCTGGAGGAGGAAATGGCAATGCACTCCAGTATTCTTGCCTGGGAAATCCCATGGACAGAGGAGCCTGGCGCGCTACAGTCCATGGAGTTGCAAAAGAGTCAGACACAAAACAGCAGCAGCAAAGTACAGTATACTCGTCGTCACCTTCTGCTCCCCTCTGATTCCAACTCCCTGTTCTCAAGAGCACACGAAGCCCCGGAAGCCCCGGGCAAAAGGACAGTACACAGAACATGATGCCCCTTAACCATTCTCTCTACAAGGCTGCACCTCTTTGAGCGACACCAAGAATGTCTCCCTTCAGAGAAGACTGTGTTTCTTCTCAGACTCTCCGTGGATGATGATAACAATATCATCGGTCATCATCTGTCATTTATTTTGTATTTACTCTGTGCCAGGCACCGTTCTAAATGCTTTGCATGTATTCAGTGAGTCGGCCTTCACAGCGATCTGAGAAGGACTGATATAATATATAGTATATATTATACTGTTATAAAAAACCTTTGTTTTGCAGATGGGGAAATGAAGGCAGAGATGTGTGAAGTAAGGTTTTATGTTAAATAACGTGCACAGGTTTGTGAAGTAAGAGGCAGAGGTGCTTAGGTTAACTGCTTAGGTTCAAACCTCCGGACGGGGTCCTTCCCCCACTGTGCCGTAGACCCACTGAATGTGGCCCACGAACCCTGCAGTCCCGTAGGAAGACACCTGCAGACACACCCGGGGAGCCCTTGTCTCCTCCGGACCAGCCCCCAGAGCCCGAACAGTAACTGTCCTTTCCCCCGACAGGCTTCATCCCCCCGCCGCTCATCTTCGGGGCCGGCATCGACTCCACGTGCCTGTTCTGGAGCACGTTCTGTGGGGAGCAAGGCGCCTGCGCCCTCTACGACAACGTGGCCTACAGATACCTGTACGTCAGCATCGCCATCGCGCTCAAGTCCTTTGCCTTCCTGCTCTACACCACCACGTGGCAGTGCCTGCGGAAAAACTATAAGCGATACATCAAGAACCACGAGGGCGGGCTGAGCACCAGTGAGTTCTTTGCCTCTACTCTGACCCTAGACAATCTGGGGAGGGACCCTGTGCCCGCCAACCAGACACATAGGACAAAATTTATCTATAACCTCGAAGATCACGAGTGGTGTGAGAACATGGAGTCTGTTTTATAGTGACTGAAGGAGGGTTGAACTCTGTATTAGTCCTTCAAGGGTCATTTTTCCTAAAGAAAAAAAAATGAAAAAAAGTTTCCAAAAAAAAAAAATTCAATACACACAGAGACACACACACACATATACAAAGCACCTTTGTCCTTTTCTCAAAATCAGAGCCAGACAGGATTCAGGATAAGGAGAGCGTGGGATCACGTGGTTGACATGCGACCTCCTGGGGGCTCAGAGTCTGCTTTTGAAGGCACCTCGTGGTTGTTCAGGATGCTGACAGCTGCAAGCAACAGGCACTGCCAAATTCAGGGAACACTGGTGGCCAGCTTGGAGGACGGACCTTTCCGGATATACATACACATACAAAACAAACAAAATATATTAAAAAATCTACTAAAAACACCCAAGTTGACAACATTGCCAGGATAAGCACTAGTGACACACCCTGTGCCCGTCCACACGGGGGCGGAGGGGCACCCAAGTCGGAGGAGTGGAGACCCGCTTCTCTCTCTAACTTTTGCAATAGGGGCCACGGTGTAGACGACTCACCCAGTCTACACCAGTGGTTCAAGGCCCCAGAGTTCTCTCAGCGATGCTAAAGGGTGATCCGTGCTGGAGACTGTAATTGGCACCTCTCACCAGCTCCATTTCCATTTCTCAAGACTGAGGGCCCCAGGGGGGGAGCCGGGCATGGAGGGCCAGCACCTCCCTCCCCCACAGCACCTCCCATCGGGGGGCGCCCCCCTCCCCCACCAGCCCCACAGAATGACCTCAGGAAGCAGTGGGTCTCGCCTGGCTATGACTGACTTCGCTCAGAGCCGGTGAAGCCCAACCCAGTCCAAGTCATTTGCTTACATTTGCCAAACATTTTGCCATTTTTAAGGGGAAAAAAAATGCATTGCATATGAATTTCAAACTGTTGTATGTATAATCCTCTGATACTATTTTTAACTACTTCTCAAATCTGTGTTAACCCTTCAGTCACTAACACAGCCCTCTAGGCCGAATTTATTATGCTGGTTGCTTTTAATTTTCTCCTTTTTTAATGCACCAAAAATATAATGTGATTCAAGGGATGCAGTTAATCTATTGTAATTTTTTTATTATCATTTTATCCTCATTCGGATAGTCTGTGAGAACGAGACTATACAGTGTGTTATGAGAAAAAAATGCTTGAAAGAGAGTGTATATGCAGCTTGCCTTTAAAAGAATCACATTCGAGACAAGAGGAGATGACATGATGAATTGCAAATTTGCCTTCTCGACTTATGCCCCATGATTCAGTGAGTGCTGTCATGGGAACCCCTTTCATATGCCTGCTTCACATGCCAAGAGGCGTTCTTTTCCACCTGTGGTGAAGACACGCTCCGCGGCATGTTGTGTGTATGGGTGCAGGGCTTCTGGGGAGAGGAGAGAAAGAATAGCTCCCGGGCACATGCTTTGAACAGCCTGTGGTGTCCGGGATTACAGACCAACAAGCCCCTGGAAGCTACTGGACATCCACCACCTGAAAATGTCAGTAATGTTTTCAGGGTCAGTCTTGAACTAAGAAGCCATGTGTGTGTGTCTGTGTGTGTGTTTTGAAAGTGGCTGAATCTCAAACAGCTAGAAGGGAACATTGTTTGGGTTAAGAATCAAGGGAAAATCTCTTGCAGCCAGCAGACTCAGCCTGGTGAGTCATTTGCAGGCGGGGCAGAACTCATGTGAGAGCACGGGTGTGCTCACACGCACGGCCCAGGTAACCCACCTTTCATGCTGTTACAGCGTCCTTGATCTTGGCCACTCCTGGCTCTGGGAAGATTCCAAGGGTGGGTTGGTTGGTTGGTTGTTTTTTTTACCTCAGACACATATTTGCAGGTTATCTAGAAGATCAAGAGAATCAGGAAAGAGTGGAGTGGGTGCTGTGCCAAATTTTTAACAAACCCATAATTGGGGCAGTTTCAGTGACAGCCCCAAACTAAAGAAGGCCACATGGAACAAGGATGCCCAAGAGAGAAGCTTGTGTGGCAGGGCAGAGCCACCGTGACCAGCTGCTTCCCGGGGACAGGATGCTTCTGAAACAACTTTTTCCCGTCTTGCTCAAGTCCCTCCTTGTTCCTGAAAATGGGGACACTCATCAGTGTGTTAACTAATTAAACATGGGGTTATTCTCCAACCAGTTCATAAACTCTGTACACCCTGTGGATTCTGAGGCTGTGATTCTATCCTGTAAAGGTGTTGACTTGGTTTTGTCTTGAAAATGTATTGTTAGTAGATCACTGCCCTCTTGGATATGATTGTGTAGCTCTCCAAACTCGGTCCACAGACACTGAGGCTGCAAGACCTCATGTTTCATGGGGCTGTTTGCTTTTTTTTTTTAGGTTTTTGAAAACTATTTTCTTTTTGGCTATTTTGCCTAAGATTTTAGGCTGAGTGAGAATAAGATGTTAGGATGACAAAGGAAAACAACTCCAGGGCTTAGTTTTATCAACAATTGAATTGGAATTTAAAGTCCCGTCTCGTAAGGTGCTTCTAACATGTGTTATTATCACCTTTCAAACTTTAAATTTCTCTCCTGGATCCAGAACCAGGAAAACCTTAGTCTAGGTTTGTTCTTTTGTGCCACAAGGAACCATTGTACGTACCTTGCCCGATCCAGCCCCTGACTTCTTTGGTTTTGAGCAGGATTTTGAATGGAAAGATTTCCTAGGAAGACCTCCAGTGGACTCAGAAAACAAAAGCAGTGAGGGAAGGAATAAACCTAGAGTGTGAATGCTAACGTCCTCTCTCCCATGCCACCAAACCCTCTACCATTTCAGTGGAAGGTGCCAGGCCTGAATGGAGGAAAGCTGTCTTTGCTGCAACTTGTGACAGATTTTTGTCACTCCTACATATAGATCAAAAAGTTTTCTACCCATATTATTCCTGCATATGAAGGGAACACACTTTGCAGGAGTCTCTGTCTCTGGGGGGGACTGGGTTTGCTGTCTTCCCCGTGCTGTGTCCGTGGGCTGTCAGGAAAGCCTGACTTCTTCACGCCTCCGCAGGGTATGCTGTGAAGCTCCCAGACACCCCGGGGACACTTCCACTCCGGGAGGCCACTGCGCGCAGGGGCTCTTCTCACAGCTAACGAAGGAGCCAGAGAGGCTTCTGCTCACAGGTCCCCTAAGGAGTTTGCTGGCAGCACTTATCAGGCAAAATAATAAGGGGAAACAGAGAGCTTCTGAGAAATCCTTTGACAGACTCCCTAATGTCTTCAGAGCAGGAGGGAACGTGCTTATTCATAAAAATTGCTTTTCATAACCCTCCAGCAGAATAGCTTTGCCTAGTGATAGTTTGTAGACATTGGCTACGTGGTGTCTATACATTCAAATCCCCGATTCCATTTTCTCATCTCCAATAACCTAGAGCAGGGGTCCCCAACTCTTGGGGTGCGGAGCAGGAGGTGAGCAGTAGGTGGGCGAGCAAGTGAAGCCACATCTGCCCCTTCCCCATCGCTCACATTACCACCGAAACCTTCCCCTCTTCTTCCCCCCTCACCCAGCTGTAGAAAAATTATCTTCCACAAAACCAGTCCCTGGTGCCCAGAAGGCACTCAGATGTGGCAAGATTTCCTGAGGGGACTTGCACACACGTTCCACACAGGGTGGCCAGCCAGTCCCTAGGATAACTGCCACACCACTAAAGTTTCTCAGGAAAAAGATTCCGCCATAGTTGCCAATGGATTATCTTCCATACTTCCAAAGCAGGTTGCTTATTAGGAGAGTGTAAAATGGAAATATATACACATACACACACACACACACTCTCTCTCTCTCTCTCTCTCTCTCTCTCTCTCACTGAGAAACCCTCCGAGGAAAAGTAGTGGTTGGCTCCCTGTGAGCCTACAAGGCTGGTTGTCTTGCTGCCAACTGTTCAGGTCCTGGGAAGCGTGGCTTCTTCTCCACCCAGTCAAACCCACCAGGCCTGTATTCTAAGCCCTGCTTGGGAGTCCCAAAGGCACTCCTGAGTGATTTGAAGCAATAAAGGCCAACCTGTCGAAATCACTATAATGATTATGCAGTCAGGCAGGATAAACTTCTGTCCTGTTTGGGGGTGGTCACCCTATCTCACTGTTTGGTTGGTTTGGTTTGGATGAGGGGGGAAAACCAGACAAGCAGGTTTTCAGTCCAACAGACAGAATATTTGCTGTTCTGTGCTGTTCTTCCCTCTTTTGATGGTTTAGAGAAAGTATCTGTCCAGGAGAAAGTACTGGACAGAGTAGGGGCTTGCTTGCTCCCCTGAACACACGTCACTGCCTCTCAACAGCCTCCTTTCAACCATGATGTGCGTTTCCCTTTAGGTTAGAATCCAGATCCGTGCCCTCAGAGGTGACACGTTTTCCAAGAGAGGGTGTTAGTGAATTTCAGTTTGGCCTGGAAATTAGTTCGAGGCGTAAATACAGCCCTTTTCCTCCTCTCTCTGCTCCTCCCTCCTTGTTTCCTCCTTATCCACCTCTCCCAACCCAGTTCAACTTCTTGAGTTCTGAATAGCTATGAGGACGTAATTCTCTGAGAACAAACGGTCCTACTGATAGCCTTTCAACCTGGCTCCCTTGGGGTATTATGGCTGCTCAAGAATAAGTTGCTGAAACAGGACTCTCTAACTGGCAGAAAATGCAGAGAAGATATTGTTCAGATGCTTTTTATGGGGCCTGTTACCTTGGATCCCAGCTTCCCCTGGGGCTCAGACAGTAAAGAATCCTCTATGCAATGCCACAGATCTGGGTTCAATCCCTGGGTTAGAAAGATCCCTTGGAGAAGGAAATAGCAATCCACTCTAGCATTGTTGCCTGGGAAATCCCATGGACCGGGGAGCCTGGCAGGCTACCATCCATGGGATCGCAAAGAGTCAGACACAACTGAACAATTAACACTTTCACTTTTTCTTTAAACCAAGGATCACATGGGGAATTTACACTCTCTGCATACAGCCCTCACCCATGCCTCCCCTGTCTCGCCTCAGAGTGCTCAGTTATCATGGCAGGGAGGACATGAATTGAAAAGCCTAAAATGGGGAGTTCAGAGAAGCCTGGATGCCCCAGCACCTTAGAAATCTATGACTGTGGTGGAGATAAAGACAAAGCTCATGTTTCTCAGGGACCATCCATGTGGTAACACAGTTTTCCTTTGCAGGATTAATGCCATTTGAGGGAGCACTATATGAGCTTGATGTTTTCCAACCATGTTTATTCACTCTAAAAGTTTGACTACATGCCAGGCCCTGAAACAGGTAGAAAGGTTAACAGCCCCATCCTCTAAGAACTCACCGTTTAATAAGAGAAACAGACCTGAACACAAAAGCAATAGAATAGGGCTTCCCTGGTAGCTCAGACAGTAAAGAATCTGACTACAGTGCAAGAGACCCGGGTTCCATCCCTGGGTCAGGAAGATCCCCTGGAGAAGGAAATGGCTACCCACTCCGGCACTCTTGCCTGGAGAATCCCAAGGACAGGGGAGCCTGGTGGGCTGCAGACCATGGGGTCGCAAAGAGTCAGACACAACTAAGTTACTGCATTTTCACTTTTTACTTTCGTCATTGTAAGAGTCAGGGTCTATTTATCTATGTCTGGGAACAAAGCTGTTTTAGGGCGCTGGGAAGTTCTACCTGGTGGCATCAAGAATCAGGAAGACCTAGTGCTCTAGAAAAGAAGAACTTAAGAGCAGTGGGTTAGGGATCCAGGGAAAGAGACCCTCCACTGAGAGAACCAGCAGAGCAAGTTCAGATACCTTCCAGCAAGGGCCCGGTGGCGAGCATTTGGGCTTTCAGGGCCCTAGAATCTCTGTGGCCTCTACTTCTTTGTCAGAGCAGGGATGCAGCCCTAGGCAATGTGGAAACAGATGAGTGGGCTGTGCACCAATAAAGCTTTGTTTATAAAGACAGTCAGTCTCTGGGTGTGGCTGGGGGAAGGCTGTAGCATGCTAATCTGTTCTGGAGAACACCGAGGTCTGAAGCAGCATGGCATATAGTCCAGTGGACTGTAGTAGTGGAAGCTGCTGTAGCCCAGACTGAGTCATGCATTGAAAGACTCTAATTCAGGTACCCCATTTTCCAAGAATGAGGTAAGTATCCCATTATTGTCAGGGTTTACAATGAAAGCAACATTATCTTTCTCCTGTGTAAGGAGGGGAATTGGAACTATACAATCTACAGTCTCTTCCAGCCCTGACACTCACCCCCTAGCTCTACCAGAGTAATCCTTTTTTGTTAAGTGATGGAAGTGGGCATGGGAGGGGACAATGTAGGAACTCGACAAAAAAGAGTGAATCCAGATACTGAATAGTATTTCAAATTTCTTCCCTCCTTCCCACCAGTATGAAACAGTGGCACTAAAAAGCTATTTAATAACAGGAGCTAACATTTACCATGTACTTACAATGAACCAGCATATAGTGGTTAAAGAATCCATCTGCCAATGCAGGAGATGCAAGAGGTGCGAGTTTGAACCCTGGGTCGGGAAGATCCTCTGGATGAAGGCAAGGCAACCTACCCTAGTATTCTTGCCTGGAGAATTCCATGGACAGAGGAGCCTGGCAGACTGTAATTGCACAGAATTGGACATTACTGAGCATGCCCACACACACATACATAGTCCTGTGAGGCAGAAACTGTTATTAAGCTTCAGTTTACAAGACAGTAAAATGAGGCTGGGAAAGCTTTCAGAATTGGCTCAAAGTCACAAAGCAGAGATTCAAACCCAGGTCAACAAATCCAAAGCTTGTGTTCTTTGCCTTTTTGGATTCTCCCTCCATACTGGGCAGGAAATGAGGGACCCCTTTCCTCCTGTAGGGACTTCCTATTCAGAAGACTTACTCAAATGGACTACAGGGCTCCCTGCACTCTCATATTCCCCCTAACAACTCAGACAGGTTGTATCAGTTGTATTGTAGAACACAGATGTATTCTGGGACATCCGTTCTTCCTGTTGTTATTCCCAGACTTAACCACAGAGCCGAGTGATCAACACACGTGGGTTATTCTGCTATTCGCAGGCAGGTAAGAGGAACCAGGAGACGCCTCTGCTCTGATGCATTTGGAAACGCAACTTCAAAGTGCTGAGGTGTCTGGGAGACAGTCCTCAGTGCTGGTCAACAGCATCGGTGGGAAACCCCAGACACTGTTTCCCACCTGGCACCCCTGAAGTCCTCAGCATCTACTTCAGGAACTCGACTCCAGCCCAGGGCATCAGACACTGATGCTGGCCACTGGTTGGAGCTATGTCTTGCTCTGTGATCAGGTACTAGGCTTTTAGGAATAGAGTTTCTAGGCATTTCAATTTTTGTATTAATGTCTCAGGCCAATCAATAATTGAAGATTAGCACACATTCTGAGTCTTTTTCTGTAAGGTAAAGTAATTATGTTCTCTTACCAAGAGCAGATGGAACAACTATAGTAAATTTTCTGGAGGTTTAACATTCTGTAGGTTGAGATTTTACCATCCCATTAAATCGCAGAAAATAATGTTCTTCTTAAATTCATGCCAACCTAATAGAAGGTAACTCTCACGGTGCTGGGTTTGTCAAAACCGTTGGATTTTATAATCGAAGGTGATAAAATGAAGTAGAAGTAGGCACCATAGAAAATTTCATTATAAGAGAAACTCAACTAACACAAAAATTGTGCTCTAGCCCAGCCTCTTAATGGAGGAAAGGGGCTGGGAGTTCATGTTTATGAAGAGGTTGCTACCCGCATGCCCTGCTGGCTCAGATGGTAAAGTATCCACCTGCAATGCAGGAGACCTGGGTTCAACCCCTCGGTTAGGAAGATCCCCTGGAGGAGGGCATGGCAACCCACTCCCATATTCTTGCCTGGAGGATCCCATGGACAGAGGAGCCTGGTGGGCTACAGTCCGTGGCGTCGCAAAGAGTTGGGCATGACTGAGTGATAAGCCCACACACACACATCCTCCTGCCAGGGGCCTTAGCAACTTTCCCACACCTCCCTTGTGAGGTCAGTATCATCATTCCCACTTTACAGATCAGAAAACCAAGGCTCAGCACACCAAAGCTTCCCAAGGTCACACAGCTAGTTAGAAAGCCACCAGGGGCCAATGCCAGGTCTGTCTGACTCCTGAACCAGTGCTCTTTCCATGACACTCCAAAAGCCACCAATCTGAGAACACAGATCTGCCTTCTCAGAAAGATTTGATGAGGCCTGTAAGGCATCTACTATTGGAAACCACCACAAAAGTCTATAGTTTCATAGAGAAATGAGCTAAGAGCTGGAGGTGAAAACTTCAGAGTTTGTCTACAGGCATAAAAGTCTAAAATAAGAAAAAACTCCTTTTTCCTTCAGTAAATGCTGGAGATCTTTAAAAACACTCCCCTTCTCCCTCTGGGCCATGTCGGCAAAAGCTGACCAGCTCCTCATAGTCTTCTACCTTATTCATTCTGTACACAAGAACCAACCCCAGTTCTCTCACATCTATCCCACCTTCCCCGACTCCCTGCCCCCCTGGCTTCTAACAGAGCCCCTAGGACTGTAAGAACTCAGACCTTGTGAAAGTTGAGAAAGGATGCTCCAAACTGTCCAGCTTCTTCTGTAAGCCAGATCTCAGCTGCAAAAGAAAGGAGAGACATTTCCATCATTTGTACCAGAGTCTAGAGAAGACAGGAAAACGAGTGAGGATTCTATGGTTCCACTGCAGCTCTCATCGAACCGGAAGGCTGCATGTCATGGTCATGGAGACCTCCACGGCTTGTATATCATGATAGGGACTAAGCTGGATTTTTCATGCCTTTTAAGTGAAGCCACAGCATCTATTTCAGAAGCATGGCAGAGGCTTAAAAACCTCACTCCAACAAGGAGATTGTTTTGCTCAGCAGGTGGTGACCCTCTGTGGCTGAATGAAAAGTAAACTGGCCCCAAACGCTGGAGGAGAAAGCATGACATTATGATGCCAAGAGGTTCTCTCTGGCCCAGAGTCACCTCTTCAACAGAGATTGCAATGATAGGGTCCTGGAACACAAGGTCTGTCCCCGGTGACTCAGATAAGATGAAGATAAGTTCATGACGGAGTTGCATCTTATTCATTCCCATAGAATAAACATCTGCATGGGCATTGGCATAGATACGTATAGATAAATGTTTCTCAGAAAGATTCGGCCTACATGAAGGTCTTTGGGCTTGGAGTCTGGTTCCCTGGGGTGATGTGGAGCACAAGCTGGCATTTTATTGACTTCCTGCTCTTATCCATCCCGCTGGAAAGCCAGCATGCTATTATATAAGCCTAAAATATAAGTAGGAAAACTGGAAAAGACCGATCTCTTTTTCCTCTTGGCTCTCTTCCCCCCCTTCCCCCTTTAGGCACAGAGTACCAAGACATTGAGACTGAGAAAGCCTGCCCCGAGTCACAGTCACCTTCAGAAGACTCCTTTGTGAGAAGCTGAGGGCCTGGCCCTCTTCCTGCAGAGAAGAGCCCGCCACCGCCCACAGACCTCGCAGGCCTGACTTGGCGTGCTCTGTCCTGTCCGAGAACCCAAGGGTCCCCGTGGGGGCCGTCCGGCCAGTGTGTGGTCCTTTGAGGCCCCAAGCGCAGGCCTGTGACAAGGACCGAGCAGGTGTCTGTGGCCCGGAGTCCTCCAAACCCTTGGAGTAGGCATTTTCCTGGATCACTAAAGAGCCCTATTGGCCTGGTGTGCAAATTTCTTCTGCCCACCCCTCCTTTGGCTCCTGTGGGGATGGCCTGCTGACATGCTTTAGAAAACCCCCTCTTGGAAGTGCTTCTCTGAGCGGGGGCTCCAACAGTTCTGAAAGCAGCCAAGGCTGGATTTCAATAGAAGGGGGTAAAAATTACCATTTCATAGAACAGAGGGGGGGAAAAAAGCACATGCTCAATAGATTTTGAGTGTGGTATTCTGTATTTTTGCAGCTTATATTTTCCAGATGAGCAGTTTAGAAATATGTCATGTAAACTACCTACTGTACGTTTGCTGAAAATTATATTAAAAGCACTATTTTAATTCTTCCTCGGTCTCACGCTGTAATCTCTATTATCTTTCTCTTCTTGTGTCTTTGGGTAGAACAATCCTAAAAGTCTCTTAAAGAGAGTATTTCTGGCTGTGTGTGTTCTGTATTTATGGGCTTTGAATTGTTCACAAGAGCACAGTCTTAGGAGCCAAAACAGACCTGGGTTCGACTTCACCCCAGCACTCCCTACCGGTGTGGCATTTGGGAAGTGACCTGACCCCTCTGAGCCTCAGTTTCATCATCTGTAAAATGGGAATACTGTCACCTGCTTTACACAATTGTGGTGAGGCTTCAGTGAAATCCCATGTCAAGGCAGCATAGTGTTTCACAGAGAAATGGTACTTGCTCATTGCTCCCCAGCCTCTGGCTGGAATTAGATGCTCTAAGACACAGCTCTGGTTCCTGTTGATCCATTCTGTAATCCTGGACCATCACCATCTGGTTTTCCTTTCTGGTTCTCCCATTGTCTGTAAACCCCTGAGAGAGTGGCGAATGGCTTCCTCTCAGGGTACACTGCCTAGGATAGTGTGTGATGTTTGATGGATGCTCATTGTACAATTGAAAGAATGGATGGATGATAAACAAACAACCTCGGACTCATCAACCTCTGGGGCTCTGACTTTAGCCCCACCCCTCTGAGGCAACAAATAGCACCTGCCTTTCTTTCTCTAGTTCCATAGATCCTCCCACAAGCCTCACGCTATGGATGGAGCTTCAGTTGCCTTCCCAGTCTTTGTGAGGCCACTTCCTAATTGGCTACCTTCTCTACTACATCCTTAGTCCACTGGTAGGACTCTGACCTCCTAGGGACAGTCAGGTTGATTGGCTGCCACCAACGTGCATGTCAGAATACTCACCACAATCATTACATCTACATCCCTGGCCAGACAGGAGCTCCAGGAGCTGGGGCTCAGCCTCTGTCATTCGAACCAAAGGTCCAGGATGGCCCCAGCCCTCGTGTGGGGCTGACCCCGATAACTGACCCACGGTCTCATATCCCCATCTAGCCTGGATCTTGCCCGCATACCCTCATCATTTGCATTTGAGCTCACCTGAAATCCGAGCTCGTCAAGCGAGTATTCCTTGAGGCCTGTACCCTCCTCAGCCCTGCATGATTCTGTCACTCTGGAGTCTGTGGACCCAGAAAAGCACATGCTTGGGTGAGTGACCTTCTCTGAGGCCCTATTACCTGGTTCACAGCTGCCTCGAGGACTTCTTTTCCGCCTGACCCTGTTATTTATGTGATTGTTTCTTTTCCTTTCTTTTTCTTTTGCGAAACAGCATGATTTATTCTCTCTGGCATAAAAATCCCAAGAAAATGCAATTTCAACATTTCCCATCATGATGTGAAAAGATGCTGAAACAGCCAAAAAAGTAGTTAGTGATTCCTCGTGGGAGCTGGGCTTCATTTGCACTGGAAATTCAGTCGGAGGGAGAAGACGGAAGCAGGGGAGGGTATTGCTTATGGCATCCATGCTCTCAGTCCAAAATTTCACATTTGTTTTTCATCTGCAGTCCAATTTCTTTCCTCTTGCTACCTTTTCCGCCATTGAGGTGGTCAATTTATGGAAAACTGACACTCCCCTCTATTTTGTCTGAACTTCATAAAGACATCTTATTGGGGGAATCAAGAGATTCATCCTTCAGTATTTAAGCAGGTCCATGAGAGAGCTGTGCACACAGGTTGTTCAAACAACTCAGGGAGAACAGACAGCTTAGATAATCCAAATGCCGTTTTCTTGCCGATGTCATATCACAGGCCACTGGGGCTTTGAACTACATATACATTTGTTCCATCTTGATCTAGATCTGAAAATCCAACTTGACCTTTCTTTGAGTCTATGTGGAAGGGTTAGTCATCCACCTAAGTGTTTGACTCAACTGAAATAAAAACAAGCTGTTTCTGTGGCCTTGGGTGTAGATTCAGAACCACCAGGAGCACATCCACTTCACAAAGAGCTGCCTGTTTTTCTTTTTTAGGCTTTGTTATTTCAGGAATTCCTGCTATAGAACTGTGTCCATAACTCTGCAGAGAAATGTCTGTAATTAATGCAGAGGACAGAGACAAGCTTTTGCTTTCCAGAAAGCACTTTAAAAAGTATCTCAACCTTTCTGAGTTCTCACGTTCCCACTTCGCACGTATGAAATGCATAAACACATAGTTACCAGATCCCTGGAGGAGGGCTTTGCAGATCTTTGAGAGTGTTTCAATGGACAGCCTCACTTCCCTCTTCCCCCTAAGGTAATTAAGGGGTGAAATGAAGATAGCAAGCAGCCTGGAACACAACAGCAGGGTGACCGATGCATGAGTCATCTGACCAGGAATCTGAAACACAGGCTCAGGGACTCAGACATGACGTGGCAGAAGCCAGCATCTTCCTTTGGAAGGAGAGTTTCTCCTGTGAGAGTCCTCTCATCACCTGTCACTGACAACTTGCCCACAACCCCCGGGTGCAACTGAACCATCTCCCAGTGAAACGGAGGTGGGAACCTCTGTCTTCAGGCTTTACACCCCTTAGCTTAGCAACAGGCTCCTTTCTCACCCCAGAAGCTCAACTCACTCCCATTCCAACTCTTCCCTTTCTTTGGGGCATTATTGTGCAGGAAGGCAACTAAATTTTCATAGTAAAAGCAGTGCTCAATATGGGTTAAAAAAGAAAAAGAAAAGCTCACAAAGAAAAAGGCTGTTCTTTCAGTTGTTTCTAAAATAATCTTTGCCTCATCCTTTAACTCCAATGCAAATGATTAAACATTACAATGCAATGCTATGAAGGGAGACACAGGTTTTTTAAGCTTTCTTTTATTGAAGTACAGCTGATTTACAAGTCTGTGTTAGTTTCAGGTGTATGGCAAAGTGATTCATTTATATATATCAAATCATTTTTCAGATTCTTTTCCCTTATAGGTTATTACCAAATATTGAGTACAGTTCCCTGTGCTATAGGATGGTCCTTGTTTATCTATTTTATATATAGTAGTGTGTATCTGTTAATCCAAACACCTAACTTAACCCTCCGCTCCCTTACCCCCTTTGGTAACCATAAGCTTCTTTTATATCTCTGTAGGTTTATTTCTGTTTTGTAAATAATTTCCTTTGAATCCTTTTTTCCTTTTTAGATTCCACATATAAGCAATACCATATGATATTTGTCTTTCTCTGTCTGGCTTACTTCACTTGGTGTAATAATCTCTAGGTTCATCCATGTTGCTGAAAATGGCATTATTTCTTTTTTATGGCTGAGTGATATTCCACTATATATAGTGAAATATATATATATGTTATATATAGACTTCTTAGGTGATGCTACTGGTAAAGAACCTGCCTGCCAATGCAAGGAGCACAAGTTTAATCCCTGGGTTGGGAAGGTTCCCTGGAGGAGGAAATGGCAACCTGCTCCAATATTCTTGTCTGGAAAATTCAACGGGCAGAGGAGCTTGGCAGGCTACAGTCCATGGGGCCACAGAGAGTCAGACATGACTGAGCACGCACACACATACTGTATCTTCTTTATCCATTCATCTGTTGACAGACACTCAGGTTGCTTCCTTGTCTTGGCTATCATAAATAGTGCTTCTATGAACATTGAGGAGATGTATGTCTTCAGCAGGACACTGGAGGTAAGATTTTATTTAAATGGCGACTTTCTCTGTAAATGTGACCCTTGAAGAAGCATATCATTGCCCATCATTTCTTCACATGCTATCAGCAGATCAGTCCTGAAAAAAATGACTGAGGCAGGGAGCAGAGACGGAGAACTCAGACATGTGGTGAGGACAGGGCTTTAAAAAAATTCCTTGGAGGCCCTCTGTCTGACTTGGCTGCACCCTGTTCTTCAGGGGTGTCCTGCACTTCTTGGGAATATGAGCTCTGGGGGAGATGATTGGTGTCCCTCCATCCATTCCATATTTCGAACTGACGCATGTTAGGTTTAAAGCAAGGCCATGATTTTCAGTTAGTACGGATAGGACTCCATGAGGCTCCCTGCACACAGTAGGCTGGGGGCAGTAGGAAGTCAGGATGGCGTGGTGGAAAGAGCAAGCAACAGGTCTGCAGCTCAGCCCAGCTGCTTGCTCACCTTGTCGGGTTAGCAAATCAGGTCGCCACTCTGAACCTCGGCCCCATGTGGCTCTGAGATGGAAAGGTTTCAGCCTCCTTGCAGAGACATCATGAGAATTCAGTGTAGGCACAGCCCCGCATCCATCCCTGGTGGAGCTCAAGAAGTGATGAGTGTCACTGAGAAGTCTTGTCCTCAGTCATTTAAATACAAAGCAACTTCCATTTACCAGTATTTGCTACCACTCTGCTTCTTGGAAAACCCTCTTTCCTGCTGCATACTGCTCACAAAATGACTTAATCAGTCAATTCCTTAAATTTTTTGAGTCATTCTTACTCATTAAAATAGCTTCACTTCACTTCTTAAGAGCTGGTCCTGGCCATCTGAGAATTCCTGGTGCATCTTCCATTCAAGCCTTCCCCAATGAGGGCAGACCAGACAGATCTTCAGCTCTAGGGGCCCAGAAAGAGGGGAGGCTTGATCTGCTCTCTCTCACACCACCTTCCTCTTCTCTGGCCGAACTCAGCTCCAGACCATGGTGTGAAAGTGAAGAGAGAAGGGAGATTTGCTTACCAGACTGCCCAGGGCTATGCTTGCTGCCATCACTGGCTGTCCCTGCTGCCCAAGCGCCTTCTGAAAAGTGCTGGTGTGGGAGCAGGCAGGCCCCAGGAAACCCAGCCCATCTCAGGAGCTCCCCTAGGCTCTGCAACTCCCTGGGAAACCCACAGCCCCCAGCCTCACCTTCCCCACTAGCCGGAGCTCAGGCACGAGATAGGAACAAAGCCATGAGTCCCAGATCTCTGTACTAGTTGGTTCTGAGGGATGTCCTTATCTCCCTCCTCCCTGGTTCCATCACTCCAGGGTACTCCTGTACCTTGATCCAGCCTACTCTGATAGCAGCGGAACAAGCCGGCTAGCTCATACCCCCAGGGTGCAAGATGTC